CGGGGCTGCGGGGAGGGGACGCGGCTCCCCCGGGCCCCGGCACTGCCCTCAGCGGGGCCCGCACCGCCGGGCTCTGCCTTCCCTCTCCTGCCGCATCGCTGAGCGGGTTTTCTGGGTCACACCCAGCCCTTCTGTGGCTGTTGGGCACCCCCAGAAGCTTCCCCGGTGCCGCGCAGGGCTCTGCTGGGGATGCCCCATCAAACACGGCTTTGCGGCTTCTTGCGGGACCGGTTCCACGCGGGATTGTTGCGGGTGGGAAGCCACAGGGGAGGGTTTCCTCCTTTTTTTTTTCCTCCGCAGAAGTTCAAACACGTTCTGGACGACCACTGGCATGTTCCCACAGGAATTCATTATCGGTTTTCCTAAGCGCGTGAAGATCAGCAAAGTCACGATCCAGTGTTACCTGGGTAAGACTCCGCCTGTTGCAGCGTGGAATAGGCAGGGCGTTACAGGGTGTGTGCCCGTGTGCACATAACTCACCTCACGGTCTGTAAACAGTCGCTTAAGGCAGATACTCAAAGCTTAGTTTAATTATTTCAGTTTGGCTTAGCTCACCAAAGCAATTGTCCTCCACATCCGAAGTTTTTCCTCAATCAGAAGAAGCTGGAAAGTCTCCCCCACCTTACTTTGTTCTTCAGACACCTTGTGTTGAGCTTGCAATTAGCTGTTCTGTCACACAGGGAGGGCTGATCTAATTTTAATGGCCAGCACTCCTGTACTCAGTGTTTCCATCATTTATTTTGAATATTCATTTTTACAGTTTTGCAGAACAGAACCCTCATTCTTTTTTTGGAAAATGAGAGTTTTAAAACCTAGAGGGCTGTTACAAGGTCAGAGTGTGGAGAGAGGAGCTGGACCATAATTAGCAAATGCTGCACAAAAGACATGAACGTTTGTTTGTCCAACCTGGAATGTGAGGATGGTGGTTGTTTTACAGTCCTGTAATCCAGAATTTATTAGTGCTTTTAACTGCTTTGCAGGTGAAAAGCGATGAAATAAATACAAGTATCAATAAAGGACCAGAATTTGTGTTAATATTGTAAATACATATTTATATTTTAGTGCAGACTTTAAGGATTGAAAGAAGTGTATCTGAAGACCCAGTAGGTTTTGAACAGTGCATTGAGAAAGGTAAGATTCTGAACCTGAAGCAGCAGGGATTTTGTGGGAATAATGTTGATCTTTTTGAGTCAGTGATTTTAACCCCATGTCTATTTGTTGAAGTGTGTCATGGTGATTATTTTATTAGACACTAATGTAATAGGCACATCTGAGTTAAGGTTATGAACACTGCTGGTCTCTGCAGCAGTTTGGAAATGTAAAATACTGCTTAAGAGCTACAAGCACTACTCGTGCACACACTTTTTATGTTCCAAGAATGAAAAACAGACTTACCTAGTGCAACAGAGTGCCATTTCTTGAATTGTTTGGTTGCTCTGGTTTGTTTGGTTTTTTTTTTGTTAATGCCTCTTGGGTGATATTTTATAAAACAGTGTAATGAATGGGATATTGGAATATTGCAAAAAGTATTTGCTCTCTTAAATCACCTTGTGAAAAAAAAAAAAAAGAGCTATTTCTATATGCAGGGTAAGTTCTCAGTCCTTACATTCTCTTGAACTCTGTGAAAACTTTTCACAGCATTGCACATTATTCTTCATCTTTTGCTCTAAAATATCTTTTCCAGATTTGCAGCACACAGAAGGACAGCTTCAAATGGAAGAATTCCCAGTGAGTATTTACAGTGTACACCAGTAGTGGTTCATGAAATCAGATATCTAGACTAACTGGGAAGAAACCATGAAAAACCAAAGCATGTCTTTATTTACAATTATTGCTAAGTTGGTGTTGGGTGCAGGATCATGGTATGAAATTGCAGTCTCCGACTGCTCCTTTGTAGATTACAGTTTGAAAGTGCACCTGCCTCCTGCTCCTAACTGTGAAAGAGCTCTTTCCAGAGCTGTGGCAATCTTTGCTCCTTCAGTTGGTGCCTTTCAGGCTGCAGTATTTGGGGAGGATGGGAAGTTTTTGAATTTCCTGCCATCTGAAGAAACTCTGAAGCTGGCAAGATGACTAAAAGAGCTTGATTTGTGTGTAATTTGAAAACAAACACAGAAATACCAAGATGCTTTTGTCTGACAAACTTCTGCAAATTCATTTTGATAGTTATGTTCCTAGAAAGAGTGCAGTGATATATATATTTTTATTTTTTTTTCTCCCTTTACAGCTTCCTGATTTCCCAGCCACTTACTTGCGTTTCATCATCAAATCAGCCTTTGATCACTTTGTGTCTGTGCACCGGGTGATGGCAGAGGGCACAGCAGAAGACACTTAGGTTTAGCTTAAATTTATACCTCTTTTTATAAAGAAGTTTTATTTGGTATCTGTAGTTCAGAGAATATTTATTATTATTAAAACCTGGTATTAAAGTGTGTTTTGAAGGTGTGGATGTAGTATGCATTCCCCATTATTTTAATGTAAGTAATGCAATACTCCTGTTGGCTGTAATAACAGCTTTCTAGATTTATAACATAGACTGTTACCCTAAAACATAACTGAGTCCATGTAAATTAGTATGTTTATATCAGTCTTTCTTAAGATATTAATTAAAATTTGATTTCTTGTCAAATGTTTTCCATGTTCTCTGAATTAAATAGAAAAAAAGTGTGAAATATTCACATGGAAGGTATTACTTCCTTCTCTCAAACTCTTTCTTATCAACTCATTGTTCAAGATGAATAGAATTAATATAAATGTCTACTGATGGTTAGAAATAACTGGGGATGGCTAGGGTGGGGAGAGAAATAATCTGAAGACAAGTGTAGTGTTCTGATAGATTTTTAATAATTGCAGATCAATCCTGTTTCTATAAATATTTCCTACAATCAGGTCACAGCTGTCTGTGCTTTGTGCTGTGACTGTCATCACAAATATTAATAGAAACAAGTATTGATAGAGATTGTTTTATTCAGAAGCCTTCTGAAGTTGGTGGAAATGAACATCTGGGAAAATTCCAGGTATAGAAGAGAATCCTAATAATGTGACATGGGTTGTTTTGCATGCCAGTCGACTGTTGGAAATGTCACTACCCCTGAAGTTTATCCAGCATGATATTCTTTACCAATGTGAACCTTGGTATCCAGTCCTGATGGCTCAATAGACCCCACTACTTCTCTTGGTGCATGTGGTTTAAGCACAGTAAGATAGAGCAGTAGTGGGTGTTCTTTAGATTCTTGTTGTCGCTGTTGTTATTTTTAATTCTTTTTTCTTCTTCTGTCTGTGAAAACTTACTCATTGAACTTTTTATCCAGATAGCCTTTCCTCTGAAGTCCTCTTCTTTTTCTATTTCATTTTTTCCAGGATTGCCCGTATTTCCTGGGGGTGGTAATTCCAAGGCCCCACTCCTCCCTGCAAAGGCAATACAATTGATGGTCAAGTAGGCAAAGCAGAAGTCTGCTAGAGCACAGGAGTTGCAGCAGACCTTGGTTGGTTGTGTTTGGGCTTCCTCTCCATGACAGCCGCTGTGTGGGGGATGGTGTAGGCACAGGCTACACCCTGCTGTATAACTGGGACAGGGCCAGCCTCTGGATCCTGGAGCTGGGAAGCGTTCCTGGATCTCACAGCTTAGATGTACTTAGGTTTACTAGTGAGCCAAAAGATAAATATTTGAGCAAGCCTGAGGTGTACATCAACTATGTACATTATGAAGGCCCAGACTGCTCTTGCTGCAAGTTGTTTTCTCCCCACAGCTACAGTGAATTGTGGCAGTTGTAGCTTTCAAATAGAATGAAATGCTGACTTAAGTGTAAGGCATTATCCAATTACTTTGAAATTAAAAAATCTCCATATATTGTGCTCATTATTATTGTTGTTTTTTTACCTTGTAGATGACCTTCCCTCCCTGAAGTAGATACAGTCGTTCTGGTAATGCAGCATATTTTGAACTGCTCAGGTTTTCCATAGTGTCTAAAACCACTGGACATAAAGGATTCTTTTTCTGAAGAAATTGTGCTGCAAGTTTTCGATCTTCGAGGCTTCTGTGATTTTTAATAATGATATTGTTTTTAAAAGCCCATCCATCTAAAACAAATGAGAAAGGGGTTTAAGCAAGGAGCATTCTGAAGAGGTGTGAAGAGTGGAGATGTACTGTGTGTGTCATATCCCAAAAATGAATAAGAAAATACTGCAATTTACTCCACACCCCAAAACTTGCCATGAAATGAAAACCTCCCCTCAGAATACAAGAGCACAAGAGCTTTTCAAATAAATGGTCCATATATATATATATTTAATTTAATTCCTGCAAACTGTATTTTCCCTTGCCCTGGATTTGGAAATATTTGATGTATTTTAGCTGAAATTTCCCCCTGTAAATCAACCCTAGATCTGTATCAGGTAGTTATTACCTGCTTCTCAACTACTGAAGGTGATGCATTGTTAGAAAACTTAAAACTGTAAATGTTACCTGTTAGGAGACCACCTCCATCCTGGCATAACATCAGTGCCAATGTGTTGCTTAGTATAGATAAAAGAGTGTGAATGGTTTATTGGCTAAATTCTTCAAATTAGAGTCTGTATCCTATTTAGAGACATCTTCAAAATCATTTACACTAACTATCCTGTGGGTTGGTTTGTGTTTTTAAAAAAAACATGTAACACATGCTGGCCTCATCCACTTAACCTTTGTTCTATGAAATGCTTATTTTTATTTCCCTCCAAAAGGAGCTGTACTGACACTGAGGAAGTTTTGTAAAGATATAACCATGACCTTCACTGAGATGAGCATCTTCAGCAGGAGTAGCTCAGCGTAAAGTCAGATATGTGAGTAAAATCTTTGGGGGATTAGGGACACAAAGTGGTGCTTAGATTTGGTGTTGCTGCTTTTGATCTGAAGAAGATTTATTTCCTGTTTGCAGTTCCCTCCTTTGCTAGCATACTCTTCTTCCTAAAGGGAATGATCACAGCTCTGAAGTTTTGGTGGGCATTACTGTGGTGTTTGTACTGTACCTACTGCATGAGCTTCTTCGATGTAGATGATAAGGAAATCTGCTATGGAGCTGAAATCTTCGATGAGCTTGTTAAACTCATCAAAGTTTAGCATAAAGGAAGGTCAGGTGCAACTTCCAAAGTTGAGGATTAAAGGTCGGTTATCTGGAGGAAAAAAAAAAAAGGATAGTTTGTGGTTAAATTAGTGGTGGAAGGACAGGATTAAATGAATGCATTGAATTGAGCCTCTACAGAGCTTTCTAGGCAACAGCAGGTAACTCGACCCATGAGTTTCCTGTTAGGATATTAAAACCAGCAGCAGAACATCTGCATCCGTGCAGAACAGGCACAAAGATGCTTTATTTTCCCAAGCCTGGATCTGACCTTGGCCCCATCCAGCCGTGAGCCTAACCAAGGGCAACTCTTTCCTTTGCCCAGTAAAAGCAGAAGGCCCTGTGCAGTCCCACAGCTCATCTCCTGTCCTCATCACCCGAGCCAGTTCTCAAGTTACCAACATTTTGGGAGAGGGAGCTGCTCTAAAATGGCTGTACAGCATGTGGCACATCACAGCCTCCCCCTAATCCTTCATATGAAGGAACTTCAAACTAAATGTGATCGTCTGCAAAGTTTTTCAAAGGACAGTGGTTCAGAGATGTCTTAATGCTGTTTAATGAACCATTGGACATGCTTCTTGGCAGAGGTGTCAGATCTAGCAGAGCTGAGTGGAAGCTGCACTTTCATGCTTTCATGCTTTCAATATATTCCTGCAATTTCCTGTCCAAACAGAAATCTGGTTAGATAGTATTATTTATTAAACTAATGTTAAACAAGCCACTGGCAAAAGTGTCTATGCAGTTGCTTACAAATTAGCAGAGCATGAACCCACATGTGTTCACATCTGCTTATGAGAGCTTGCAGGACTTTTAAGCACTTCTTTTAGTGTATGGTCTTGCAAAATTACCTGGAATTTGTTCAGGATCTTCCTTCTGGCTGAGCTTAACTTCAAAAACTGCTGCTAGCATAGATCCACATCTTAAATAATCTAATAAAGGGAGTACCTTCCTCTAGATATTGTGTATCTCTCTTCCAAATTTGCATCCTATTTTCTACATACACATATATATGTGCGTGTAGCAAGGCAGAGTCAGAGCAGGATGTAATCCCTCCCATGGGAATTGAGACTGCAGCTTAATGATTAATTCCATGTTCTGCAGAGCTCTCAGTGGGAGGCAGTGGGCAAAGTACAGAGCAACTTCTTTTTCTTCTGCTTTATTTCTAGCTACTTTGAACCTTGAATCTCTCCTCCGTGTGCTTTCTAGGCTTTTGGATGGCTGAGGGAGCTGGTGTGGGACTGTCTGTGCATGCAGGGAAGGACAGCCAACAGTCCTGAGTCAGGCACAAGATTCCAGTTCTGGGACTTCTCTACCTAAGATAAACTATCTTGGCTTTCAGTGAAGAGGTATTTTCAGGTCAGAGGTTCATAAGCTTATAGGAGTGAAGCACTGTTGTAGTCAGGATGATAAATACAGGTTATTTTTGAAAATGAAGAGGCAGTTGGTGTGAATGTTGCATCTTTGCTATCAAGTGAATGCTGAGGGTCGGGTCTGCCATGTCATGCACTCTCATCCCAGCTGCCTGTCCCTGTCCCCTCAGCAGCCTCTTCTCATTTATCACCTCAACAAACCAAACCCATCCACACAGCTGATTTACTGACCTTGCAGGAAATCCAGGAGGTGACAAACTTCTCCTTTGGAAGTCACCACGGGTGTGTTGGGAGCAGGACATCCCTCATAGGCTTCATCCTCCAGCCTCCTCCACTTCACCTTCAGCACAAAGAGCAAATACTTGAAGCTGAAAAAAGTTGGGCCCCAGTTTTCGTAGCTGAACTTGGGATTCTTGTTCATCCTGCTCTTCTCGCCCTGTTTCAGGATGTATCTCTTCATGGCATTGGGGAACAGTATCATCAGAGTTTTGCCAACAACAACACACGTGCTCACGTGCAGGAGAATCAGGATTTTTAGTAGGAATACCCTGATGCTGAGCATGGTGGTGCAGGAGGTCTGGCTGCTTCCGACGGGAGCGCCGTGCGGTGGTGGGGGCAAAGGTGGAGAGGGCGAGGGGGAGGAAAAACACCCACGTGTCTGGGCAAGTCCCTGCCCTGCTCTGCGAGCTGTCAGCGCTCTGTGCGCTTCAGCACCTGCGGGAGTGAGGAGCCGTGGGACACAACACTTCCATCTGCACGGAAGGCGTTAATAACAGTGACACCAGATGTTTAGGGCTAACTGTGCAGTTAAGAGGCTTATTGACAGGTGTGTTGTGTGTTTCAGGAGTGGGAGGAGCTGAATCAGGGTATTTTCCCAGGACCACGGGCAGAGTTTTCACTGTCAGAGCCCGAGGGCCCGACCCTGCAGGAGCAGCACTGGAGCTCTCGGGGGTCCCTGCCCGGCCCCTGGGCTGGTGCAGCCGCTTGTGTTTTGCATGTGCTGCGCAAACAGGGCCCGGTCCGGCAGCTCTGCCTCCTTCGGTGCCACTTCGGGGCTGCGAGGGTGTCCCCGAAACCCATACACCCCGATACAGAGCGTTATATAAACTATCAACGCGTGCAATATGCTCTTACAATGAGATATATAAGCGTGTGTGTGCAGTCCGTACGTGTGTACGTGCTATGACACAAACGCCGCAGCCGCTGTGACACCCGCTGGGTAGCG